GAGATGCACACACACAGGTGCGCACACACCTGCACACCTGGCTGTTTTGAGCTCTGAGATGCACACACACAGGTGCGCACACACCTGCACACCTGACTGTTTTGAGCTCTGAGATGCACACACACAGGTGTGCACACACACCTGCGCACCTGACTCTTTTGAGCTCTGAGATGCACACACACAGGTGCGCACACACCTGCGCACCTGACGTGTTTTGAGCTCTGAGATCACACACAGGTGTGCACACCTGCGCACCTGGCTGTTTTGAGCTCTGAGATGCACACACACAGGTGTGCACACACACCTGCGCACCTCTTTTGAGCTCTGAGATGCACACACTCAGGTGTGCACACACACCTGCGCACCTGACTCTTTTGAGCTCTGAGATCACACACAGGTGCGCACACACCTGCGCACTTGGCTGTTTTGAGCTCTGAGATGCACACACACAGGTGTGCACACACCTGCGCACCCGAATCTTTTGAGCTCTGAGATGCACACACACAGGTGTGCACACACACCTGCGCACCTGGCTGTTTTGAGCTCTGAGATGCACACACACAGGTGCGCACACACCGCACCTGTTTTGAGCTCTGAGATGCACACACACAGGTGCACACACACCTGCGCACCTGTTTTGAGCTCTGAGATGCACACACACAGGTGTGCACACACCTGCGCACCCGAATCTTTTGAGCTCTGAGATGCACACACACAGGTGTGCACACACACCTGCGCACCTGACTCTTTTGAGCTCTGAGATCACACACAGGTGCGCACACACCTGCGCACTTGGTTTTGAGCTCTGAGATGCACACACACAGGTGTGCACACACCTGCGCACCTGGCTGTTTTGAGCTCTGAGATGCACACACACAGGTGTGCACACACCTGCGCACCTGGCTGTTTTGAGCTCTGAGATGCACACACACAGGTGCACACACTGCGCAGCTGACGTGTTTTGAGCTCTGTTTGTCGTTGTTTTTCACAGATCGTCGGTTGCCAAGTGAGGAGAGATCCCCCTAACTCCACCGAACGATACACACGTTGGATCAACCAGCTGACGCCTGAGCAGCTCCTGACGCAGGTACCTCGCCTGGCGCCTTGTCTGGGGCAGGTGCGCAGGTTGCCTCTGGGCGCCGTCTCCTGCATTATGTTGTGGTCTCTTGTGTCTGTGTTGTCGTGGGCCGTGGTCCTTCCGTCCTCACCTTCACTCACATGCCGTCGATCACACGGAGTGGGAGGTGAGGGTGGCCCAAGCAGGCACACACGCTAGGCTGGTCTCAGGCCAGTAGTTCAGACTGGTTCGAGTTCTGAGCTGGGAAACCCGACGGCACAGGTCCACTTACCCGTGGACTGCAGAGGGTGGGAGGGCGAGCTCAGAAATCACACAGCCAGTGTTTCAGAGTCCCCGTGTCCCCTGTGCCCCCAGCACATTCCAAGAGCCAGGCTGCTGCATGCGATGTGGACGACAGGGTGTCCTCGGCAGTGGACTGTGCTGGTGTGAGACTGGACTTGGGGCCGCCTGCGGCACCCCCTCGGGTATGAGCGGCTGCCATCTGAGAGAGGGGACATGGCCGTTGCCACACGGGTGGCTTGTCCCTGCCATCCTCTGTGGGGCCGTTGGTGCTGCTGGGGGAGGCAGAGACCGTCTTGTGGTCACGTCATGACAACCCTTCCCTATACAGGCGACCGAGGGCGGGTGTCCTGGTTACCAGGCGTCACACTGTGAATGAGTTGACGTACTTTTCAGTGAACTTGTGAAAATACTTAAAACAGGACCTCAGGCAGACTGTGGCTGCTTTTTTTTTTTTTTTTTTTTTTAGACGGAGTCTCGCTCTGCCGCCCAGGCTGGAGTGCAGTGGTGCGATCTCAGCTTACTGCAAGCTCCTCCTCCCGGGTTCACGCCATTCTCCTGCCTCAGCCTCCCGAGTAGCTGGGACTACAGGTGCCCGCCACCTTGCCCGGCTAGTTTTTTGTGTTTTTTAGTAGAGACGGGGTTTCACCGTGTTAGCCAGGATGGTCTCGATCTCCTGACCTCGTGATCCGCCCGTCTCGGCCTCCCAAAGTGCTGGGATTACAGGCTTGAGCCACCGCGCCCGGCTGTGGCTGCTTTTTTAAGTAACGTGCACCTCGTGCAAACTGGAATGCGGTTCGGCGTTGCCAGGCTGGTTCTGAACTGCAGGAATCTGGACACGTGTTGAGTTTCGGCCCAGCTCCGACCTCGGTCAGAGCGCTGTTCCCCGACAGCCGGTTCCCCGGAGGCCGCGGCAGTGAGCTGCCCCGTGGGGGTCAGGCTTTGTCCTGAGTGTTAGGTTTGATGCCAGATTTTTTTTTATTTTCATGTTTTTTAATTAAAGGAAACAAATGTTCCTTTATCAGTTACATATGTATTCACTTAAAACTATTTTAAGATAGACCATTGTGTCAGTGTAGTGTGGGAAATTTAAAAAAGCGAAAGGCTGGGTGCAGTGGCTCACGTCTATAATCTCAGCACTTGGAGAGGCTGAGGCAGGAGGATCACTAGAGCCCGGGGATTTAAGACCAGTCTGGGCAATATAGTGAGACCCTGTCTCTGCGAAAAATTATCTGGGTGCAGTGGTTCACACCTTTAGCCCCAGTTACATGGGAGGCTGAGGTGGGAGGATCGCTTGAGCCCAGGAGGTCAAGGCCGCCATGAGCCGTGATTGTGCCTCCACCCTCCAGCCTGGGCAACAGACCCTGTCTCAAAAAAAGAAAACGAAAAACTTTATTTCATTTGTCAAAGTTATGCTTTGCTGTTTTATAAAGTCAAGCGATATAAAAAATTACAAAGAAAAAACGATGTTACTGCAAAACCCACCCCTTGTTCCTCTCAGATGTCTCTGTGTGCAGGTCACACACCAGCACCTCGAGGGGCTCCTGTCCCCCACCCCGCCTGCCCCTCTGCTTTCTGTGACCATAGACCAGTTACGTTTTCCGGATTTTTATGTAAATGGAGTCCTACACCCTGTGTTGACTTGAAGGATGCCGCAGTGTCCCACCCCGGGACTCTCTGTTTCATGAAGTTCTGTTTTCTCCTCCTTGTCCCCTTTCTCATCTTCTTCTTCCTTTTTCTTTACAGTTTGCTGGTTTGACTTGAGATCCAAGGAAGGTCCGTGCATGGCAGTTGTTGATAAATGTCTTTAAATATCCAGATTCCTCCGTCATCCTTTTCCTTGACTATGCTGTGTTCGATGTTGAGTGATTTGCCGTCAGTGCTTTCAGCAGTCAGGCTTCTCTGCGGGTTGCGTCTCCCTGGTCTCATTCAACAAGTTCCTCTGTCCCTGGAGCTCCTGCAAAGCAGTACTTAGAGCTAGAGGTTTTATGGGATTTACAGTGATTTGTTCATTGTCTTGCTGATGTATAGCTTTGTTGATGTATAACTGGCTACAGCAAATGGCCCCTATTTCAAATGTGCAGTTTGATCGGTTTTGACATACATCTGTACCCCGATGAGCCACCACAGTCAACGCGGTGAACATATTTATCCAACACCCCACGTGTCCTCCTGTCCACCCCGGAGCCCTCCCCACACCACACAACCACCACCCCCTTCCTGCCTGCTCAGCAGTTTTACGTTTGCTGGAGTTTCAGGTAAATGTAGTCGTGTGCTGTGTACTTCACTGGTCTGGCCGCCTTCACTCAGCATGATTACTGTGCGGTCCAGACACGTGGCTTCCTCACAGCAGCAGTGGTGGCCCTCGAACAGCGTGTTGGAACCACACAGGCCACGTACACATGGGTTTTTCTCAGCAAGTGTATTGGAGAAGTTTTTGGAGAGGTGAAACAATTTGAAAAAGCTTTCAGACAAACAGCGTGGCCTAGGAATACTGAAAACAGCAACAAAAAGATGCGTCATGAATACATAAAATATATAGAGATGCTACTGTTTTAAAATCATGTAATACCAAAAATTATACACAAATCTATTATGAAAAGTTAAAATTTATCAAAACTTACGTGCACACAAACACTTATAGACCATATGTGGGGCCTTTCACAATTTAGAGAAATTGAACAAATGTAGGGATGCAGAAATTAATCACAGCTGCACAAAACTCACTGCAGTGCGTACTGCACGGCTGCGATATTTTACCAACCCCTCCTGCCGGCACAGCCGTGAGCTCAGGTGCTGCGAGTGCTGAAAATGCGGGTGAGGCTGATCATCTCCACATGCACGGCACCTCCCTCCAGTAAATCACAAATCACAGTAAAAAGTGATCTCTCGGCCGGGCGCGGTGGCTCACGCCCGGAATCCCAGCACTTTGGGAGGCCAAGGCGGGAGGATCACGAGGTCAGGAGTTCACAGCCTGGCCAAGATGGTGAAACCCAGTCTCTACTAAAAATACAAAAATTAGCCAGGCACAGTGACAGGTGTCTGTAATCCCAGCCACTCAGGAGGCTGAGGCAGGAGAATCGCTTGAACCCGGTAGGCAGAGGTTGCAGTGAGCTTAGATCGTGCCACTGCACTCTAGCCTGGGCGACAGAGCAAGACTCCATCTCAAAAAAAAAACAAAAAAACCAACAACAGAAAAAAACAGTGACCTCTCACAGTTCTCACACAGTTTTAATCATGTTTAAGGCGATCCTATAAAGCCTGCATGACACCCTAGGACCCATACACAGTGCCACGGGTGATGCTGGAGGTGCTCCCAAAAAGCAGAGAAAATTCATGACACTACAAGAAAAAGCTGAATTGCTTGCTATGTGCCGTAGACTGAGGGCTGCAGCTGCGGTCGCCGCCATTTCAGACAGGTGATTCTTCTCGTTAACAGACGATGTGAACTTAGGGTATCCATAAATACAGCACTATAAATGTATTTTCTCTTCCTTGTGATTTTCTTAATAACCTTTTCTTTCCTCTAGCTTACTTTATTGTAAAAATACAGCGTATAGTACATATAACGTACAAAATATGTGTTAACCAACCGCTTATGTTACCAGTAAGGTTTCCCATCAACAGGAAGGTATTAGTGGTTAAGTTTTTGTGCAGTTAAAACTGATACATGGGGAAGGGGAACATCACACACCGGGGCCTATTATGGGGAGGGGGGAGCGGGGAGGGATTGCACTGGGAGTTATACCTGATGTAATTGAGGAGTTGATGGGTGCAGCACACCAACATGGCACAAGTATACATATGTACAAACCTGCACGTTATGCACATGTGCCCTAGAACTTAAAGTATAACAATAAAAATAAATAAATAAAACTGATACATGGATTTTCAGCTGTGCAGGGGATCAGCACCCCTAACCCCCGCCTTGTTGAGGGATCAACTGTGTTCTGTAGTGTGGATGTACAATTTGTTTACCCACTTAGCTGTAGAGGGACACGAGTTGTTCCAGTTCCTTGATATGATAAGTAAAGCTGCATTGCACATTTGTGTACAAGCCTTTGTGTGTGCATGACAGTGAACATATGTCCAGCCTTTTCTCTTGGGAAAATACTTAGAAGTGGAAGAGCTGGTTCGTATGGTAGGGATATGTTTCCTTTTTTTTTTTTTCTTTTTTTTTTTTGAGACAGAGTCTTGCTCAGTCGCCCAGGCTGGAGTGCAGTGGCACGATCTCGGCTCACTGCAAGCTCTGCCTCCCGGGTTCACGCCATTCTCCTGCCTCAGCCTCCCAAGTAGCTGGGACTACAGGTGCTCGCCACCTCGCCCGGCTATTTTTTTTTTGTATTTTTAGTAGAGACGGGGTTTCACAGTGTTAGCCAGGTTGGTCTCGATCTCCTGACCTCGTGATCCGCCCGTCTCAGCCTCCCAAAGTGCTGGGATTACAGGCTTGAGCCACCGCGCCCGGCCTATGTTTCACTTTTAAAGCAACTGCCAACGTGTTTCCCAAATTGGTTGCACCATTTTACATTCTCAAGCTGTGTATGAGAGTTCAGTTCCTCCATGTCCTTGCCAACTCTTGATATGATCTTTTTAATTTTAGCTAATCTAGTAGGTATGTAGTGGTACCTCGTGGTGGTTTTAATTTGCATTTCCCAAATGGGTAATAACGTGAAACATAGATGTATTTACCATATTTGCCATCCATGTATCTTCTTTGGTAAAGTGTCTGT